TTTGAAGCTAACTTTTCTTGACAGCTGACATTTGACATCTAACAGTCAACGAATTTCTCACGAGGCAGATGGATTAAATGTCATTGTCACGATAATGTCAACTTTTTTCCCTCTGCTGTCAACGTTCAGAGTTTGTATAACTTGCAACAACAACAATAATAATAATGATGACAACGATAGTGATATAATACTGTTGATGATGATAATATTAATAATAATAAAAAGAAAAAATAATAATGATATTTAAACAATTAATGATAAAAATAATGATAATGTTTGCGATTGCATTCACGATATTCGTATATATCGTCTAGGAGCTGATACAGACATTATACTAAACTGCTTGGTATAAGACTTCTACGAGCTGGTGCAGACATTATAATATAAAGTTTCATATAAGACTTAAGTCTACGAGCTGATGCAGACATTATAATAGACAGATTCATATAAGACTTTTACGAGCTGATGTAGACATTATAATAGACAGTTTCATATAAGACTTTTGTCTACGAGCTGATGCAGACATTATAATAGACAGTTTCATATAAGACTTCTACGGGCTGATGCAGACATTATAATAGACAGTTTCATATAAGACTTCTACGAGCTGATGCAGACATTATAATAGACAGTTTCATATAAGACTTCTACGAGCTGATGCAGACATTATAATAGACAGTTTCATATAAGACTTCTACGAGCTGATGCAGACATTATAATAGACAGATTCATATAAGACTTTTACGAGCTGATGTAGACATTATAATAGACAGTTTCATATAAGACTTAAGTCTACGAGCTGATGCAGACATTATAATAGACAGATTCATATAAGACTTTTACGAGCTGATGTAGACATTATAATAGACAGTTTCAAATAAGACTTAAGTCTACGAGCTGATGCAGACATTATAATAGACAGTTTCATATAAGACTCAAGTCTACGAGCTGATGCAGACATTATAAAAACAGTTTCATATAAGACTTAAGTCTACGAACTGATGCAGACATTATAATAGACAGTTTCATATAAGACTTCTACGAGCTGATGCAGACATTATAATAGACAGTTTCATATAAGACTTCTACGAGCTGATGCAGACATTATAATAGACAGTTTCATATAAGACTTCTACGAGCTGATGCAGACATTATAATAGACAGTTTCATATAAGACTTCTACGAGCTGATGCAGACATTATAATAGACAGTTTCATATAAGACTTCTACGAGCTGATGCAGACATTATAATAGACAGTTTCATATAAGACTTCTACGAGCTGATGCAGACATTATAATAGACAGTTTCATATAAGACTGCTACGAGCTGATGCAGACATTATTATAGACAGTTTCATATAAGACTTATACGAGCTGATGCAGACATTATAATAGACAGTTTCATATAAGACTGCTACGAGCTGATGCAGACATTATAATAGACAGTTCCATATAAGACTTCTACGAGCTGATGCAGACATTTTAATAGACTATTTCATATGATAAGACTCAACTATACGAATCTTCATAATGGCGTAACCCAGGGAGTGAGGTATGGGTGCAACTTTGCGGGGGGGGGGTGCCGGTTGTGTAGATATGTGTATCCCTACATTGTTCCATCTCAACTCGTCCTCGGAGACTATGGGGGGTGCAGGTTGTGTAGATATGTATATCCCTACATTCTTCCATCTTAACTCGTCCTCAGACCGACGGAGGTCCCGTCACAAGCGCTGGGCGTCCATCAAGAGAATCAAGCTGTCCCACAACATGAAGATCGGCGCCACCCAGCCCCCGCCCATGATTGTGCGCCGGCGCACCCGTGTGGACGCCAAGGTCGGAGTCCTGGTGGTGGTGGAGAACTCCATATACCGGCAGTACCTGCTGGACAACGGCAACGACCCCAAGGCGGCCCTGGTCAGGATACGGCGCTACTACGGCATGGTGTTCGCTATGGTAAGTGCTACTACTGCTCACTACGGCATGGTGTTCGCTATGGTAAGTGCTACTACTGCTCACTAAGGCATGGTGTTCGCTATGGTAGGTGCTACTACTACTCACTACGGCATGGTGTTCGCTATGGTAGGTGCTACTACTACTCACTACGGCATGGTGTTCGCTATGGTAGGTGCTACTACTGCTCACTACGGCATGGTGTTCGCTATGGTAGGTGCTACTACTACTCACTACGGCATGGTGTTCGCCATGGTAGGTGCTACTACTACTCACTACGGCATGGTGTTCGCTATGGTAGGTGCTACTACTACTCACTACGGCATGGTGTTCGCTATGGTAGGTGCTACTACTACTCACTACGGCATGGTGTTCGCTATGGTAGGTGCTACTACTACTCACTACGGCATGGTGTTCGCTATGGTAGGTGCTACTACTACTCACTACGGCATGGTGTTCGCTATGGTAGGTGCTACTACTACTCACTACGGCATTGTGTTCGCTATGGTAGGTGCTACTACTACTCACTACGGCATGGTGTTCGCTATGGTAGGTGGTACTACTTCTCACTACGGCATGGTGTTCGCCATGGTAGGTTGGATGGTTTTCACAGCGTCTAGTTAGGCGGCTGTACCGATATGTGGTTTTATACAGGTAAATTAGTGGGCTGTACCGATATGTGGTTTTATACAGGTAAATTAGTGGGCTGTACCGATATGTGGTTTTATACAGGTAAATTAGTGGGCTGTACCGATATGTGGTTTTATACAGGTAAATTAGTGGGCTGTACCGATATGTGGTTTTATACAGGTAAATTAGTGGGCTGTACCGATATGTGGTTTTATACAGGTAAATTAGTGGGCTGTACCGATATGTGGTTTTATACAGGTAAATTAGTGGGCTGTACCGATATGTGGTTTTATACAGGTAAATTAGTGGGCTGTACCGATGTGTGGTTTTATACAGGTAAATAAGTGGGCTGTACCGATGTGTGGTTTTATACATGTAAATTAGTGGGCTGTACCGATGTGTGGTTTTATACAGGTAAATTAGTGGGCTGTACAGATATGGTTTTTACACGGTAAATTTAGTGGGCTGTACCGATGTGTGGTTTTATACAGGTAAATAAGTGGGCTGTACCGATATGGTTTTTACACGGGTAAATTTAGTGGGCTGTACCGATGTGTGGTTTTATACTGGTAAATAAGTGGGCTGTACCGATATGGTTTTTACACGGCTAAATTTAGTGGGCTGTACTGATGTGTGGTTTTATACAGGTAAATAAGTGGGCTGTACCGATATGGTTTTTACACTGGTAAATTTAGTGGGCTGTACCGATGTGTGGTTTTATACAGGTAAATAAGTGGGCTGTACCGATATGGTTTTTACACGGGTAAATTTAGTGGGCTGTACCGATGTGTGGTTTTATACAGGTAAATAAGTGGGCTGTACCGATATGGTTTTTACACGGGTAAATTTAGTGGGCTGTACCGATGTGTGGTTTTATACCGGTAAATAAGTGGGCTGTACCGATATGGTTTTTACATGGGTAAATTTAGTGGGCTGTACCGATGTGTGGTTTTATACAGGTAAATAAGTGGGCTGTACCGATATGGTTTTTACACGGGTAAATTTAGTGGGCTGTATCAATCTATGGTTTCATATGGGTTAATTCGTGGGTCTTACTTATATTTCGTGTAATTACGGTTAATAAGTGAGCTGTACTGCTGTACCAGTTTGAGCATTTCATATCGTTGAATTATGTGGCTGTACCGATCTATGGATTATATTGGTTGATTCCTAGCTAGTACCTATGTGTGGTTTTCTGTGGGTTACTTAGTGTGCTGTGCTAATGTACCTATCTGTGGTTAGCATATCGTTTAATTGGGTTTTATCTGGGTTTTATCTGGGTTTTATCTGGGTTTGTCAGTTGTTGCTTTGTTGTGTTCAATTTTGATTCCATATTGTTTCCTTTATCCTCAGATGGAGCAAAGATTTGCCACGATCCATGACCCACATATAAGCATCTCCGTCCGGATATCCGGTATTCTGGTGGCAGAGGTCCGTTGATATTGCGGTGTTGATTAGTATTTGTATCAGTACGAATTCTGAAATAATCGATTACCCCTTCCCAATCCCAAGTTACGTTTTTTTTTAAATTTCTTTATTGTTTTTGTTTATGTGTATGTGTTGTTGTTTTGTTTTTTTTTGTTGTTTTGTTTTTTTTTTTGGGGGGGGGGGCACAAATAAAAAAAAATTCTAAACTCCCAAAAAGTTCCTATAGCTAGAAAGAAAATGTTCCAGACAGCTGTTTAGTGGCTTAAATTTGACATGATGGTTTAAAAAAAAAAACATTTTTTTTTTAATTTTTTTTTTTTTTTTGTTTATGTGTTTTTGTTGTTGTTTTGTTTTTTTTTGTTGTTTTTTTTTTTTTTTTTGGGGGGGGGGCACAAATAAAACAGAATTCTGAACTCCCAGAAAGTTCCTATAGCTAGTAAGAAAATGTTCCAGACAGCTGTTTAGTGGCTTAAATCTGACATGATGGTTTAAAAAAAAAAACTAATGAAGGAATGAAAAGAATCATTTTAAAAAGCCTGAAATATCGTCAAACAATATCTATCACGAAAACTCTTAAGACTCAGTGTCATCCTATCGATCTGAAACTTGGCACATAGACTCGTTGCCACAGACAACACATTCTATCAAAGTTTCAGACCCCTCCGCTCCCCTGATCCCCCCCCCACCCTAAAAAAGTTTGTCCTATTTTTCAAGGGGACTTTGAATGAAATAGGATTTGTTCAATTGGATGCGTGGCCCTGTGTGGAGATTAACGGTGTAGCTGGTGCTATGTGCTTTGTTTTTTTCACGTATTTGGGAATGCAGTAAAAAAAAAATATTAAAAATATGTTTGAAGGGGACAATGAAGAAAATATGAAACGTGTTTTCGCCAGAAGTTTGTCCATTCCCTAACCGCCTCTCAATGACAAACCACGAGCAATGAAACAAATGCTAAACAAAAATGCATAGAAAGGATTTCCGTCTTTCCCCCCCAGAAACGCGAAGAGTCCAGCTGGTTAGAGCACCTGGTCGACTGGAGCACGCTGACCTCCCACGGGATGGGATCGGTCCACACGGACAAGGCTCTCAAGAAATTCGCCAAGTGGGTGAGCGGCCGGCGGAACTTGCCCGAGTTTGACCACGCCATGGTCTTCACTGCGTGAGCAATCGTTACAGCTTTTCTTGTCTTTTTTATGGTTTATAAGTTGCATTAGATATTTTTATGTATATGTTATATTGCATCTGTTATATTTGTATGTCCTATAGTGTTATATTTTATATTTCATGCTATAAATTACCCCCCAAAAATGTCGGCGGCGATGCGTGCCCCCCCCCCCCCCCCCAATCAACTGCAGTTACTTGACAATACATGCATTCAAGGAGCGCACTTGATAAGAATCCCAATTAGCGCTAACTTCTGGGACATAGGATTTTTTCCCGCATGATGAACACAGAGTTACAGCCATGCGTACATACATACGTAGAGAATTAATATTTGTGGCGTCACATTGGATATGTTTGTAATGTTACAATGTTATGTTATTTTTATAGTGTTACACGTTGTTACAAACACTTTATGTCAATGCTCAAGGAGCCCATTTTATCCACGAAAAATACTACCGTACATCCTGTAAAAAAAAAGGGTTTGCAATAAATGAAAAAAAAAAAAAAAAAAAAAAAGAAGGTATAACTGGCTCCATAACTTACCTTTTATAACTAACCTTTCTTGTGAAACGTCATAACACATTTAGTTGACGAAAAAGTAGTCAGCATGAAAAGTATAATTTAAAAATTTACCCGTTTATGTTTCAGGTACCGTCTGACCATCAAACAGGGTATTGGTCTCGGAGGTAAGTAATAGAACGGAACAACTGCATAAGATCTTTTTTTTTTATTTTGAACTACTTGAGAGGAAAAACAATGCTGACACAGGTTTTAATTAAATGTTTTTACAACGGTATTTTTTAATTTACAGCCAACACTTATAAACCGAATTTGAACTCACATTTTCAAACAGAAAACACTGGTTCGATAAGGAATCAAGTCCAATATTATTGTATTACTAGCTATATCCCGCCAAACGATGGGGGCCACATAATAGCGGCCTCAATGCGTGAACTTCCCATCAAAGTGTCTTGACAAAACATGAATTCCAGTGACACCCTTTATAAAATTCCCAATAAGTGTTGCCCCCACTCCCCCCAAAGTACGTCACCGCCCCTGAATTATATTACTATTCTAATGACCCCCCCCCCCATTTTTACGCCACACATGTATTACACCAACTATTTCACAAAAACAAAAGAAAATAATCCGCTCCAAGCGCACTTGCGGTATTTTAAGAATCTCATTTAGCGCAGTTAGTGGAAATTGTTTATAGTGAAATCAGCGCCCACCTGGCCGCGTTAGGGACATCGTTACATAGAGAATTGTAAGATAAGATTGATTTTGGTCTTGGTAGCCAGCGGTTGCATCTCTCAACATTGGAAGAATGCTGACAACAAAAAGCGCAATTTCAAGAAATGTGGCATTGACAAAAGGAAAAGGGGAAAAAAAAAATTTTTGGAGTAGAGTTGGGCAATGTTGTGACATGCACAGTTTTTATTTTTACACATTATTACACCGATTTTTCCCCATTCTGTGATAGTTATACGTTTATACTATTGAAAAAAATCCTGAAGAGGTGGGGGGTGAGAGTGGGAAGGAACATGGGGCGCTACGTGCCCCATGACCAGGGAAGCTGCCAGGCATCATGACAATATCAAAGCTGATATCGTATCGGGAGAGATCCGACAAGTGAGCCTCAATTCTGACTTGTTTTTGTTTTTTAATGGTTTTGATTTATAAAAATCAAACTGACCACGCAGCCTTCCTCTTTGACCCCCTGACAGGTATGGCCTATCTGAACGCTATCTGTGATACCTCCTCGGGGAATGCTGTGTCTATAGTGGCTGACAGAGGGGACTTCCAGTGCGTTAAGGTCGCCACCCACGAGCTGGCCCACAGGTAACCTTGACCGACTGATTTTTTTAAAAAATTTTTTTGAAAATTCAACAATTATTATAATTTGTACCAGCTTATTTTCTACTCTAAACAATAATGACATTGATTGCGTCATTGATGTGATTGTTTTACAAAATTCACCCCACTGTTAAAATATCAATGGTACTGTTTACATATATATGGAACTGTTAAAAAAATAGATTGTACTGTTAAAATATCTATCGTACTGTTAAAATATATATCGTATTGTTTAAATATATATTGTAATGTTAAAATATCTATGGTACTGTTGAAAAATCTATCGAACTGTTAAAATATCTATCGAACTGTTAAAATATCCATGATACTGTTAAAATATCTATCGAACTGTTAAAAAGTCCATCGCGCCGAGTACCAAGCAATTGTTAACAACCCTTGAACACGAGTCATTGGCACGCTGAGTAGAATGCTTGTGTCCATCCAGTCTAGGAGCCAACCACGACGGTGACAAGCAGAGCAAGACTTGCCGTCCGGACAGCAACTTCATCATGTCGGCCCACCCGTCCCACGAGAAGCACGTCCTCAAGAACGCCTTCTACTTCTCCCCTTGCTCTATACGGGAAATGTCCATACACCTCAGGTGGGTCATCTGGTTCTCCCCTTGCTCTATACGGGAAATGTCCATACACCTCAGGTGGGTCATCTGGTTCTCACCTTGCTCTACACGGGAAATGTCCACACACCTCAGGTAGTTCATCTCGTTATCGCATTGTTCTATGCGGGAAATGTCCATGCACCACTGGTAGGTCATCTGGTTCTCGCATTCATCTTTACGGGAAATATCAATCAACCTCAGCTTGGTCATCTGGTTCTCGCCTTTGTTCTATACGCGAAATATCAATACACCTCAGGCAGGTCACCTGAAGATGCATAGCTGAACAATCTTAAACTGAATCCAAAAGATGGTAGCCGTACAGGGGATCAGGAAGGGGGTGGGGCTGGAGGTGGGACGCCCCGGGAATTTTTTTTTTTTTTAACTGAGGGCGGCATTTAACTTCAGAGGGTGTTTTGTGGAAGGAGTGTGGCAGAAATCTTAACCAGCCCCGGGTGCCACTTGCCCTCGCTTTGCCCCCAGGCTGGTTACATTCGAAGTCAAGCGAAGGATTACATTCCACCATGGTAATATGATGAAGAAATCACTCACCATTTCATTCGTTTCAATATTATCTTAAAAATCTAATGTCTTTATCTAAAGATAAATGAAATAAATAATTTATTGAAAGTTTGGATGCCGTGAAACGGAAGGGGAACATTTTTTACACGTAGTGATCCTAACCTTATTGATAAACTTAAGTTGACCCCTGATTCTAACCTTATTGATAAACTTAAGTTGACCCCTGATTCTAACCTTATTGATAAACTTAAGTTGACCCCTGATTCTAACCTTATTGATAAACTTAAGTTGACCCCTGATTCTAACCTTATTGATAAACTTAAGTTGACCCCTGATTCTAACCTTATTGATAAACTTAAGTTGACCCCTGATTCTAACCTTATTGATAAACTTAAGTTGACCCCTGATTCTAACCTTATTGATAAACTTAAGTTGACCCCTGATTCTAACCTTATTGATAAACTTAAGTTGACCCCTGATTCTAACCTTATTGATAAACTTAAGTTGACCCCTGATTCTAACCTTATTGATAAACTTAAGTTGACCCCTGATTCTAACCTTATTGATAAACTTAAGTTGACCCCTGATTCTAACCTTATTGATAAACTTAAGTTGACCCCTGATTCTAACCTTATTGATAAACTTAAGTTGACCCCTGATTCTAACCTTATTGATAAACTTAAGTTGACCCCTGATTCTAACCTTATTGATAAANACCCGCCCCCCACCCCCCCCCCCGCTTGTTTTCACCCACAGCAAGCCAACCTCAGCGTGTGTGAAGAACGAACCCACCGTGTACTACACCTATGACCTCAAGCGTCTGCCCCCGGGCCAGGTGTACAGCGCCGACATGCAGTGTAAGCTGATCTTCGGCAAGAAGTCCGAGTTCTGCAGGGTCAGTCTTTGTGCTTTGTTGAAATTCCGTTTGACGCACATCCACATTGTTTCTTGCACATCCACATTCTTTTTCTTGCACATCAACATTCTGTTTCTTGCCCATCCACATTGTTTCTTGCACATCAACATTCTGTTTCTTGCACATCCACATTCTTTTTTTTGCACATCAACATTCTGTTTCATGCACCACATTATTTTTTTAATTAGTTAAAGGGTATGTGAAAAAATAAGTTTGCATTTCCTGGAATCGGATACAGTTGAAATGGTTGCACGACAACGATTCGAGTATCTCACTAGTACATTGATGACATCGCCATCAGTACATCGACTCATCCCCGGAGAAAAAGTTGGATATGAAATCAAAATTAACAGCGTGCTGAGTCTGTAGGAAGCCAACAAAAAGAAATTGACTTGTAAAGCTCTTATTGTGCCTAGGAGTTAATGTGACCGGCCAGTCTCTTCGCTCTGACTCAGACTATATGTGGCTTGACAGTTTAGCTTCCCTCTACTTGGGACGTGTGGGCACATGAACGAATAAATAAATAAATAAATAAACATCTAGGGCGATATGAAATTTTGTAAGGAGGAACCGTTGGGGAAAGTTTGAGGAGGGGGGTGGGAGGGGGCATGGGCGTAAGGGGTTTCGGAGGGGACGGCACTTTTTATCTCCTTTATACAGAGCCATTTGAAGAAGAAAAAAAAAAGGGGGGGGGGGTATTTTCGGCCAAGGGCAGAGTTCTCTTTCCGTGGAAGGAGACTCCCAAATTCTCGGCTCGCCCCGGGCGACACTAAACCTCAGCTACGCCACTGGGTGGAAGCCAATATCCTTCAACTTCCTCACCGTCAATCGCAAAGAAATAGACAAATGGTGACATAAATTCGTTGGTTTTTTTTACGATCTTCTCCGAGGGTTGCACCCATTTATGACAACAACACATTCCATTATTGACATTGTCACATTTTATGACTCCCCCCCCCAACCCGTGCGCCCCCCCCCCCACGCATTGTTTCAAACATTGATCATGTGGGACAAAGATTGATTTTATGGGGGCTCATAATGTCGAAATAAAAGTTGTTTTTTAAAGAGTCCTCCGACCAAGAAATAACCAACCGATGACGTCATAGCTTGAGATTATTCGCAGCCCCAAGAAGAAACCCTCAGACCTGATATCGCTCTTGTGTATTTGCAGACATTCATAGTTACCTAAATGTAGCGACATAAACACGAAATGCACCTTGAAGCATTCAGTATTTTTATGATCCATTTAAAACTTGACCTACTCTGAACCCTGCCATGAAAATTAACCCTACCGACCCCTGTTTCAGAGTTGGTCAAATCCCTGCCATGAAAGTTGACCTCAACGACCCCTGTGTCAGAGTGGGTCGGATCCCTGCCATGAAAGTTGACCTCACTGACCCCTGTGTCAGAGTGGGTCAAATCCCTACCATGAAAGTTGACCTCACCGACCCTTCTGTCAGAGTGGGTCAAATCCCTGCCATGAAAGTTCACCTCACCGACCCCTGTGTCAGAGTGGGTCAAATCCCTACCATGAAGTTGACCTCACCGACCCCTGTGTCAGAGTGGGTCAAATCCCTGCCATGAAAGCTAACCTCAACGACCCCTGTGTCAGAGTGGGTCAAATCCCTGCCATGAAAGCTAACCTCAACGACCCCTGTGTTAGAGTTCACTACTCTGGCGGGTACATCACGTACATAATTTGTGCTACAAAAACTCTCAGTCTCAAAATGACCTGCGTAACTACTCGAAACCCCAGAAATACTGACCAATGAAAGAAATTGGACCCCCTCCACCCCCCACCCCCCGCACTCCCACGCACACAAACAAATGGTGTAACGCGGGGAAAACCTCTCCACCCACTTACGCTAATGATCAATGGAACACCATGGTACCCCACACAACCATTTCGACACCCCTCAAAAGGCAGCGCCCATGAGATATCCCATGACTTTCACTTTGCAATTTGAACCGGACCACAGCGGTCGTACCCACGTTCTTCGGGCGCCGACGTGTAATGTCAGAGGACGGCAGCTAACCACTATGGCATCATGGGAAAAAAACAAACTTTCATAGTTACCGTGGTAGTTTACGTCAACAAATTTTGAACAAGTTAGGGTTTGAGAGTAGGACATGATGATTTTTAAAACTCCCTTCTGAAATGGAAATGATTTCGTCATTCGATAGACTTTTTTAAAAACTCCAATCAAAATACAATAGCGATGACGTGTACAGCCGTCTATCGCCATTTCCCGGTTCACCTTTTCATGGTATCGGTGTATTCGTGGATTTTTTTGTTTACTTGTATACAGAGTAAATCTAATTTAGTATGGCGGATTTAGATAGAATTTTATGTTGTTGAATTACGTAGAGGTTTTTAGAGCGTATAACGTAAGAGCATAGGAAGTGTTTATAAAAGAGGTTGGAAATGTGAATGACAGTAAAAATAATTCATCAAAAGGTTTATAAGAGTGTGGGAAAGGTTTATAAGAGTGTGGGAAAGGGTTTTAAGAGTGTGGGAAAGGTTTATAAGAGTGTGGGAAAATTTTATAAGAGTGTGGGAAAGGTTTATAAGAGTGTGGGAAATGTTTATAAGAGTGTGGGAAAGGTTTATAAGAGTGTGGGAAAGATTTATAAGAGTGTGGGAAAGGTTTATAACAGTGTGTCAAAAGGTTTATAAAAGTGTGGGAAAGGTTTATAAGAGTGTGGGAAAGGTTTATAAGAGTGTGGGAAAGGGTTTTAAGAGTGTGGGAAAGGTTTATAAGAGTGTGGGAAAATTTTATAAGAGTGTGGGAAAGGTTTATAAGAGTGTGGGAAATGTTTATAAGAGTGTGGGAAAGGTTTATAAGAGTGTGGGAAAGATTTATAAGAGTGTGGGAAAGGTTTATAAGAGTGTGTCAAAAGGTTTATAAAAGTGTGGGAAAGGTTTATAAGAGTGTGGGAAATGTTTATAAGAGTGTGGGAAAGGTTTATAAAGTGTGTGGGTAAGGTTTATAAGAGTGTGGGAAAGGTTTATAAGAGTGTGGGAATGGTTTATAAGAGTGTGGGAAAGGTTTATAAGAGTGTGGGAAAGGTTTATAAGAGTGTGGGAAAGGTTTATAAGAGTGTGGGAAAGGTTTATAAGAGTGTGGGAAAGGTTTATAAGAGTGTGGGAAAGGTTTATAAGAGTGTGGGAAAGGTTTATAAGAGTGTGGGAAAGGTTTATAAGAGTGTGGGAAAGGTTTATAAGAGTGTGGGAAAGATTTATAAGAGTGTGGGAAAGGTTTATAAGAGTGTGGGAAAGGTTTATAAGAGTGTGGGAAAGGTTTATAAGAGTGTGGGAAAGGTTTATACGAGTGTGGGAAAGATTTATAAGAGTGTGGGAAAGGTTTATAAGAGTGTGTTAAAGGTTTATAAGAGTGTGGTGAGGATTAATAATGTCTTATATAAATAATAAATTTTATTTAAAGTTGATACTTCCAGGATTTTCGCCTATCGCGCGCGGTGAGTGGGTGGTGGTGGTGTGTGCGTGGGGAGGGGGGGGGTCGGGAACCTAACCATAGACGAGGGACCGCTGAACACTTATTTGGAGACAGCAATTTTCTAAACACTATAAATTGACAATCAGCTTGAGTGAATTTTCAATCAGCTTGAGTGAATTGGCAATCAGCTTGAGTGGCTACTTTCGCTCCAGGCCTGGTAACAGGTTCTGTCCACAATCTAATAGTAAGATTTAGGTTTACAATGAAACTAACAGGAAAACTAACAGTGTTCTACTGACAGCACTCCCCGCCCCCCCCCCCCCAAACCTTTTTTTCTATATGTAGAACTTAGATACTATCTAGTTTTCAAGGTCAATAGTGGTTTGTCCTTGACATTCGACCCAATTTTGCCACACACAAAAAATTTGGGGTTGGGGGGGGGGGGAGGTTGGAGACAGTGGTGGAGGGATCCAACTTGTACTAACAGCCACCATAAAAGAGTTGTGCTTAAGCCATAAGAGAGAGATGTTAAGCCATAATAGAGTCATGCTTAAGCCATAAGAGAGAGATGTTAAGTCATAACAGAGTCATGCTTAAGCCATAAGATCCATCTATCCCTATGGCGCTACAGCCCATGTAGGGCTTTGGCCTGCCTCACTACTTCCTTCCACTCAGACCTAACTAATGCCTTTCTTTTCCATGCTTGGACTTTCAGCTGCTGTAGATCTTTTTCTACATCATCTATCCACCTAAGCCTAGGTCTGCTTTTGAGCCTTTTTCCTCTGGGGTATTGGTGATGTACCCTCTTCGTTCCTCTGTCATTTGGCATTTTCTCTAGATGTGATGTCCTGCCCAGCGTAGCCTGCCTCTTTTTATTTCTGCCACTATCGTAGGATCCTGATATAGACTGTATAATTCCTGGTTGGTTCGTATTCTCCATCCATATTCATCCTTTGTTGGCCCATATATTTTCCTGAGAACTTTCCTCTCCCATTAAGCCATAAGAGAGAGATGTTAAGCCATAATAGAGTCATGCTTAAGCCATAAGAGAGAGATGTTAAGTCATAACAGAGTCATGCTTAAGCCATAAAAGAATAGTGTTAAAGACATAAATGATTCATGCTTTAGCCATAAAGAGTAATGTTAAGCCATAAAAAGAGTAATTCTTTAGCTATAAAAGCGTGATGTTTAAGCCATAAAATATTTATGCTTTTGCAATAAGAGAGTGATGCTAAGCCATAAAGAGTAATGCTAAGCCATAAAAGAGTAATGCTAAGCCATAAAAGAGTAATGCTAAGCCATAAAAGAGTAATTCTTGAGCCATAAAAGTGTAATGAAAAGATTCATGCTTAAGCCATAAAAGAGTGATGTTAAGCCATAAAAGAATAATTCTTCAGCCATAAACGATTCATGCTTAAGGAAGGGAAAAAAAGCGGGGTGTGTGTGTGGGGGGGGGAGGGGTGAACTCTGATGTGGGCCACTGTGTTCGTG